TTTAAAAATATCTATTTATACTAATTTTAAATATGATTTATATATTTAAATATTATATTTATATATATATATAATTTATTATAAATTTTAATATATATTATAAATATTCATAGATCCTAATTAAAATACTAGTTATGTGCCTAAAATATTATTATAAGAAAAAATTAATAGAATCATTTGATTTCCCTCTTGTTAAATATTTTGATAACGTGCAATTGCAGGGGCAGAAGGGTATAAATAGGTTTAGGTTTTAACTTGGATTTAGGGTTTAGTGTGCTACTTACATTTGTTTTAAAAGAAATATTTTTTTTTTATTCACTTCCCAAAATTGTTTAAAAATCTGTTATTTGTTAAAAACAATCATGGAGTTGTATAATAGGTAATAGTGTGCAAGTTGTAACTGAGAAGTGACACACTCAGATATTTTTGAAGACATCGAATGGATTGAACACGTGTTTTATCACGAAAGAACTAAAAACTAGTGGCTGATTTGCATGCCGACGACTCTCCTTGGCAAACAAGTGATAGTTACACATTATCACTTATTTCTTAAAAAAGGACTAGAGATAGTATATAACATAATATTCAAAATATGAATTGCATTACTAACTTGTACTATATTAAATCATGATAAACTTTGAACTAATACTTTTATCACTTTAATAATCAATTCGATTTTCAAAACATTGGATTACACCTGCATAATAATATAGTATATAAATTATTATAGTATTATGATTTTATTATGTTAGGAGCCTTATTGTGCTAGTAGGCTGTAGATAAGTTTGAACTAATTATCCTAAGCTAGTACTTGACCTAAATTGATAGTAGAAATATATACATGCATGTCTGTATCTAATGTTATTCAATTTTTCCCCTCTTTTCCTTCTTTTTCATTAGCCAAATTAAGCATGTAAAATATGTTAATCTAAGTGGGATGCAGAAGTAAGCAAAATTTTAGAATATTATTGAGTGACTAAGCACGGGCTTTTGAGTATTCTCTTATGATAATCAAAAGAGTGTTTTTATAATTTTTTTTAAAGTATTCTATAATTTTTCTTTAAAACAATGCAAATTTAAGTATTCTAGATTTTAAAGCTATTTTTTTTTAGAATGAGGAACTATATGAGAATAATAAAGAATCTGATATTTTATTTGAAAATAGTAAAAATAAAGATGATTATTGTAATAAAATTGATCATTTTAATGATAAAAATTAATATATTCACATTAGACAATCAAGTTAGTATTGTTCGTTAGACATTTACAATCTAATAACATGAAATAATCTTAGAAATGATTTACAAAATGAATTACTAAAAATTGTACTAAATGAAATATGTCTATTATCAATTGTTTTAAGAATATTTTTGATATTCTAATAATTTTACAATAAAAAAATAGGAGGACAACACTTAAATAATTTAGGGAATCATGCTTTTGGTTCGTCTAGGGCATTAAAAAACTCAGGTTACCATTTTAATTAAATTTTCTTCATATATGATATATAATTATAAATCAAAATTTAATAATTCAAAATTCCTCTATCTACAAATTATGTTGAACTTTATTATAAAGTTTCATGATTTTACAAAATACTCAAGTTTAAATGATGATAAATATATTTTATTTGTTTCCCACTTATATGCAAGATGTTGGAGAGAATGTACTTGTGACACCCTCTACCACAGATGTAACAATGTTCAATATAAATTACTTATTAACTTAATTAAAATTAGATTCATGCATAAAAGTTAATTAAGTAAAGTCAAGGTTTGTAGAAGATACCACATAACAAACTCCCATCAATACAAAAATAAGACTTCAAAATAAAAGTTGACCAAATAATCTAACATTATGTCCTAGACAATAAATAACAATAAAATGAACAAATTCTAAACTGTCTCAATGTCACATTCACATATTCTAGCAGAGCACTTCCTAAACAAAGACTAAGCCTCGTCATCAGTATCATCAATGCCCTAATGAGTCTCACCTGCAACAACATACATAATATAGACAACATAGAAATAAGGAGAGTGAGAAATATCTCACTCTAGCTCATGGCGTGAAATAAAGTTGAATAAGCAACTCATAAAACATAATAGATATATCATTAACAACATATGCAACCACATTACTAAACACCAAGTACAAGATACCAATAAGTCAATCACAATTTATCACATCATTAATCTCAAACACTCCATACACAAATGCATTCACACATGATATGCAATAGACATGGACTATGATTTATATGCATGTGGCACTAGTCAAAATATAAGTACAAACATATGTATTGATTTGTCGATTTGCCAATTTGCATGACCCTCACAAGATTCACACACAATGATTTTTAAATATACACATGATGTATCTCACACATAATACAATATCATATTATTAATATACATACTCAACGATTTTCCAATCACATTACACTTACATCATTCATGTCTTGCCAACACCAATACCAATTCATAAAGTTTACATCAATCATGTATCACATTAACATAAATACATACTTGATATATAATGCTCAGTTATCCACATCAATAAGAGTCACATATATTCGTAATTCAAACACAATAATTACACAACATCATTTAATACACCTCAAGATAGAATCATTATGAAGTATTCTAATCATATGTTAATATATCAACCATAGTCACTAAGAGAACAACATTACTAAGCATTTAAATCAATAACTTAACTAGTATAACAAGGTTATCAATATCACACATTAAGACCTCAGACTTCGCTATACTCAAAAAACCTCAAATCATTAACAATCAACTTACATCTTAACTTATTCACAATTGTTTTCTCCCATGATTTATCTTTCCTAGACATTAATATAGGTACATCAAACCATTCATATGATCAAGCACTTAAAGGGTAAAATTATTCATCATCATTATTGACAAACTACATTTTCATTACTTAATCTTCTAAGAAATCATGTAGTCAAAACAAAAAACTTAGATAAAGCTATATATATGCTATCAAGTTGAACTTAATTTTATTAGAAAGTTAAAATAATTATCTACAATTCTATATTGACCTCAAAAGTTAATTCTTCCATCCACTATTTTTTAAAAATACAAAATCGCAATATTTCAACCTAAACCTAATGACTTGGCTTTTGCTTACTAATGTAATCATAACCTCCTTTTTAAGTGATTCCAATGACATTTGAAAACTAACATCTAAGGTTACAATTCTTATGAAGACATTGAAAGCAAATTCGGTCATTTAGGACACTTTCACATGTGTGTAAGTGTGTGTAAGCACATGCTAGTTGTTGTTCAGTATAGACACTTTCAACTCCAGTTGCACAAACATGCTTGTTTCTACCTTGGGTAGAAATTCACTACAACGAAGTGCGAAAATTACACAACTCACATGCCTGTTTATGTAATTAATATTAATCTTCACTTTACTCTATCCAAGGGTTTCTTATAGTAATTATAGACACTCAAATTCTCAAATAATTCAAATTACATAAAATTAACTATACATATAATTCAAATATCACATATAGTGCACATAAGAGGAGTATGGAACACAAATTCACATATTACAAGTCTCAATTATCCAAATTACGATTACAAACAATATAAACATTCTAAGGGCAATAATACACTCCAAAAGGTACAATTTACATGTACAATTATCAATTCTTCATACAACCACCAAGGCATTCCCTTGGGATTTCCACAAGAACCTAGGGTACACCAAAATTCACAATTATAGGCCCAATTTGTGACACCTTCTACTTTGTATGCCATAATACATAATATAATATAAAATTGAAATACCTTGTATAAATAGAAGGACTTAAAATCCATATAGGCAGAAAGGGTTACATTTTAACATAAACTAAACTTAGTGAAATAACAAATTACAAAGGAAATAAAATCAACTATTCAATTTAAAATAACATGAATAAAATATTAACTAATCATCGGTGTCACATGACCTATCAGAGCAAAACCCAACATTGAGAATTAGGCTTCATCACAATATCCTCAACACCATATTGATAATTACCCGCAAAAGCCACAAGAAAACAATACAAAGGAAAAGGAAGCGAGAAACACCTTACTTTTTCTCACGGTGCATGAATGCAAATCGATTAATCAAACACAAACAACACATATAATAAGATATAACATACACAATTATACATTATCATCATACTTAATTCATTCATAACATAACAAACAACAAGTAGATTATAATGATATGCAATGGACACTGACTATATTTTATCATGCATGTGGCACTAATAAAAACATCACACTTGTGCATTACTGCTAGCAACACACTACAGTAGTCTAAGAGTACATGTCTGGTCACACTCCCTGTTCATTCTCACTAGAAGGACATACTACCAGGATCTAGTCGGGATAGTTAAGCTATGCAATATGCATCTCATGCTCATAAAGGTAAGATTGAGATTTCCAAATTAAGTTATCCCTAAGGTTGGTTCCCAAGCTTTTACATAAGGGACCTTCCCTGGTGGTGTATTTCATATCTTACTCTTAAAAAAATCATCTTTATGCATATGATGCATGCCAATCAAACTCAATGCATTACATTCACATGAAGGTCATCCCATGCTTGGTGTGAGAGACCCTTAGAGCTTCCACACACGACGAAGGTCATCCCACGCTTGGTGTGAGAGACCCTGAGAGAAAACCTTAATCTCATCCTCGACGACGCCCGACACGTCCCAAGTGGTGCCCGATGATGTATCAAATATGACACGCAATAGAAAATATAGAAGTTAGAGTCACACTCCAATTCACTAAAACACAAAATTTAATATGTAAAAGGGTTCTATATCATGTAATTAACATTCAATATCCCTCAATTTACACATAGAACTACTATCCCTTCACTATCATCACAACAAGTTCCCTTAGGATTTACCACGGGAATTCACAGGGACCTCAAACCATACAATTACCATCCAAAACATAAAATTAATCATACATTTAAACAATTCATATCATTAATCATGCACAAGAAGAACAAGAAGTAAAACAAACACATTTTGGAAGAAATCCGTTATACATGAACACACAACATACACAAGATTGGAAGTTAATCCCACTACCCGACATACAAACCCACGTCCAGCGATGTTTCTCAACCTCCCCTTACGTAGATAAACTCTAAATGATGAGTGCACAACTCTCGAGTGAATTTAAAATAATCTCTAAATAAGCTCTCATTAAAAAAAAAAAGTCTCCTAAAAACACTCTAATTAAAAAGAAATTCCTAAAAACACTCACTCTAGATAACTATTTTTATTTATAATTTATATAGTGAGTGATATGAGATTAAGCTTGCCCCAAACTCTTTATGAGATAATGAGTCACTTGAAGCAATCGTGAGCAGAAATCATACGGAAGCAAAAAGAATAGCAGTATCCCAAATCATTAATTATAAAATGTATTTTCTTAGTTTAATAAAATATATTAATAATTTTTTTTTAAGAACGTATACTTTAATTAATTTCGAAAAATAATATTAATTATAAAAAAATAGTACAAGATATATATTCTAATTCATTAAAGAATATATGAGTATTAATTAAAAAATATTATTAAGTTAATTTTGGAAAAAATATATAAATAAAATAAATTTATTATTATTAACTAAATTAACTATTTTTCTTAATTTTAATAAATTAAATAATTGAATCTTATATATAAGAAGGGAATAAATATTATATTATCTCTTTTTTATTTTTGATTTTAAATACATATGAATTACATAATAATAATAATTATTTAAATACTAATATATAATAAAAAATAATATTATCACTGGCATATGCATCTCTAAAACGTGCTCACACGTATATTGTCATGTGTCAATATCATCTTCAAAACAGAAAAGCACCACTCACACTTCATGATCGTGCTCACACAAATCTTGGGCGTCAATATCAACTTCAAAACAGATAAACACCACACACATTCCCTGATCTCGTAACTACCTCTCCTTCGGGAAGCTATATCAGTGTAATATAATGCAGTTTGTGTTTGCAAAAGTGGCAGGTGTGTAAGAAGAAAGCAAGGGAACAGGGTAAAATATAAGGAGAGGCTGGGAACAGGAAATGAGAAAAAAAATTTTGGTATAGGATTGAAGGTAGCTAGCCTAGTTACTGTTCTTTTGTGTCGGTAATTTCTTGGATACATTCTCATTTCTCTGTAAATGAAAAGGAGTTTCCAAATTCCAATTGCAAAGATAAACTCTACTTTTTGAGAAAGAAAAAAAAAGTATTAGAAGATGCATTTCATTTCAATTAGGAAGAGAATAAGAAATTGTCTGAAAATTACTCAGACTAAATGTTTGATACCTAAATTTTATTATATACAAATAATACTATATTTTGCTATATAAATTATATTTTATTTAAGATTCATATAAATAAATATTTTTAAATATGTAAATTATAATTTACATTTATATTAAATAATTGATATGATAACTTAAGATTATTTTTAATTATTAATAAATTATTTTAAAAATATCAAATTTTAATTTAAAAATAAATATGATAAATACAATGTAAGAAGTTAAAATAATTCAATAAGTTCTTATTAAAGAGAAATTTTTGAAACAATCATAACTTAGAATCTGAGTTATGAGTCTAACTTAATTTTATAAAATTAACTTGTTCTAAACTCTTTATGACATAGCAAATCACTTACAAAATTGACTTTTAAGGGTTATTTTCCACTTATAATGTGAGAGTTAAATTTCTCTCTAATTGATCTAGATAGCTTTAATATAAACTTAGAATGTAAATTATGAGTTTAACTCAACCGTCCAGTCAAGCCTTACTTAATAACATTCCAAACAAAATAACACCTTAATATAATGGTGCAATATCGATCTTAGATAGGTGCAAAGTGGCTAACTCCAAGAAAATAGATAGAATGCAAATAATTTATACTTCACAAATACAGATTCTCAAAAAATAAAAAACATACTTCCGTCAAATTACGGAGCATCACTAATTTGGATAATTACATCCTACAACAATGTCAATGAACAAAAAAGAAACAGCAAAGGACAGAACTGACCTGCAAAGTGAGAAAACAGATGCAAGTTCTGACAGAGGAAGGATAGAATAGGGACTGTGAATTGAAGTGCTGGCCTTGGCCAGACAATGCATGGATAGTCAGAACAACGACAGAAAAATTGTCTAAATATTGAGGGAGACAATTCTGAAGTATAGGAAATAAAAAAGGAAAATCATAAAAGTAACTGCAAAAAGAGAGTTTACTAATCAAAGAAAGTAGTTCTATTTGGTTACTATTTACATGAAGTTGAGTTACCGTCAAGTCAGTCACCAATTTATTTGGGTTATTGTTGACTTTAATAAAAAAAAGGTCAAAATGCTAATTATATTAATATTAAGTGTAGTAACTCTTGGTATGTAAGATCAACCTTTCAAAAGGAAGAGAAATCAGAGAGAAGTGTGTCCATTGTGTCTTTTTGTGAAATAGAGAGAAGAAATGAGAAAGAATGGAGTAACCAACTTTGGAGAAGAAGTGTTTGGTACCAATTTTTGTATATTTTGATTATCTCTGTTGTTTGGTCAGATTCACATTTGAGAGTTTTCTTGTATTGTTATCCACCATATTAGTCATGAACTACTTCTAGTGATTTTTTATGGTTTTACAAGGACTTGTGGTATACCCAATGATTATTATTAGTGAAATTTTTATTAGACTAGGTCTCATGGGTTTCACCTTATATTGAGGGTTTTCTTACAATTAAATTTGGTGTCTATTGATTTCTGTTTTTCTGTTTTATACATCCT